CTGGGGGTGTAGCTCGGTGTTAGACCACTTGCCTAGCATGGGTGAGACCCTGGGTTCAACCGCTAGCACTGGGAAAGAAATTAAAAAATAAATAAACTACCATGGCTGTTGTCACCCTTTTGTATTATCTATCAGTGGCTTTTTCTAAGTGATCATTATAATCTTATGCAAGACACAAAACTAGATTGAGAACCAAAACATTATAGCAGAGTCATATCGAATATTAAAAGTTCTGCCTCACATTTGAATCACGAGTACTCAAGCCTCCCCACATCTCTTGGGGGATAATAAATAGTAGAGTGTCTACTCTCTGGAAAGCCCTTTAATATATGCCCCCTGTCAGTTTAGTATTACTGTTCCCATTTTACAGACGAGGAAACCAAAGCTCACAAATTATAAAGGGCAAGTCTGAAGTGGAACTAATTGGCAATGCCAAGATTCCCAGCCCTGGTTTCCACTCTGCAGCTCAATTTCTCATTTTATGATCACAGCGAAGCCTGCAGTGACCTTGACCGGTTTTGGAAAAAAACTGAGTTAATAATGTTAACCTCAATCTATATTTACACTTGCTGGAAACATTTAGCCAGCAAAAAGCACTCTATTCTCCCTGGTTTTGCTCCAGTCCAGTCGGAGCAAGTTCTTAGATGTGCCCATTTATTAAAAATGCAGGAGTTGCAACAACACTGGGCCGGGATTACAGGGTTTAAAAGGAAGGGCCATTCGGTTATTTAGTTTGGGGTTTTTGAATACTTTATTTCAGTATTACAGACTTTTTTTTTAAATGATGGCTCAAGGAGACAGAAAGGGAAAAAAAAAGTCAAAACTGAGATTCAGAAAAATAATTTGGCCCTGTTTCTACGGCAATCATTACTGGCTATGTTCCAGAATTCCCAAAGACAGTGTCAAAGACCAGGTGAGGTGTCAGAGGAACAAAAAAAGATTCTTAGCTGCAAAATGGTGATATTTTGGAAAAAAGTAGACAGAAAGAAAGAGGAGGGCATTCAGGAGAAAGTACCGAAAGGATTTTTTTCCTTTGGGGATTTTGAGAAAGAGCCTTTATTTTCAAAGCCAAAACAAGAGACGCAATGAAGCCAAGTTCTATGCCAATTTATTGGGCTGCAGAAAGGCCTTTTATTCTTCTATTAAAGAAAAAGAGCCAGTATTAGGATCAATAATAAAAATAGCAGCTCACAATTACTTAATATCAACCAAGGACTAGGAACTGTGCAAAGTGATTTACATATATCAGCTAATTTAATTCTCACAATTTCATGAACAAGTATCATTAATACACCCAATTTACAGGTGAGAAACAGGTTCAGAGATGTTAATTTATCCAAGGCCATGCAAGAACAGCAGGGGATTTCCATTCAGATCTACCCCTCTGTTGAGCCTTGCTCACCCTAAAACACAGGGAGACAAGACAGAAGTCCACTGCCATGCATTTGCAGGGCTCTTCAACACCCTGAAGACCTTCATGGAAAAGAAGCATAAGAAACAAACACATCAGGACCAACAAAGACATCTATTCTAAGTCGTGGATGTAGGTTACCCCAATGCCTCACAGAAGACAGCTCATCTTTGGGTAGTTTTCAAAATGTGCATGTTGGACCACCCAGCTTCTCCTGACTCCCCTCCCCCATGCCACCTTTAATCTCCAATTCTCAACTCTCTTGCCATAGGCTGATGCCCACTCAGGACAGTCTAGATACAGAAGGGCCCAGAGAATCCCACATCTGCCTTCACAATAGTCACATTTACCCCAGGGGAGGATAGAAAGAGGATGGCTGATCCATTCAAAAGAGAAAGGTAAATGACTACTTGGCAACTGAAGTTGACCTTTAGGGGAAAGACATATCTCACCATGGGATACATTTAGGGGGCTCTGATGACATTTAGAGAGAAACTAGAAAAGTTCTTGATGTTTCCAGGAGTCACCAGTCAGATTCCTGGAGACAATCAGGGAAAGGTTCCATGGGGAAGCAGCCCCAGGACTTTTACCTCAAAACTGCTGGTCATCACTTCCAGCTCAATATTCAGGGCATTGTCTAACTGTCTCCTTGGCCAGGAATTCTCAAAGCTGGCACTTTTGTGACCTCAAGCTTTCAGGGGAGCTTTTTCCTCCCAGTGGAGTTTGATTTCTGTACCTGAAACTAATGAACTCATCCCTGAGGACCTGTGAAAACCAAGAGCATTCTGTTCTGACAGCCTGCCCACTGAGGAAACTGGGAGGACCAGAAGGAAAAACTACTTGCTCTGGTCCTGAGGAGGTTGGGGGGTGAGGATTAGGCCGGGCAGGAGATGGAAGGAAGTACTTAATGGATCTTTCACGGGTGACATTTTTCACCATGTAAATCACTCCCCGCACACTGCACACCTCACTGCACGTATGCCTCTTGTTTTAGGCAACCTCATTTGAGGTGGAGGATAGCAAGCCTATTTCCTTGACAACTCAGGTCTCTGAAAGGATGAGCAGCTCACTGGGGCAAGAACTCGGCCTTAGGCCAGGCATGGTGGCACACACCTATAAACCCAGCCACTTGGGAGGCTGAGGAGGATCCTGAGTTCAAAGCCAGCCTCAGCAACTTAGTGAGGCCCTGTCTCTAAATAAAATACAAAGGGGGGGGGGGCGCTGGGGATATGGCTCAGTGGTTAAGTGCCCCTGGGTTCAATCCCCAGTACCACAAAAACAAATTCAGCCCTAATGCTACACAGAACCAGTGAGGGAGGTGTAGGTAAAGGGCCTTCAGTGGGGGTAGATTTGTGGGTCAAGACACTAGGATTTTTTCTGAAATTAGCTCTGACACAACAGTCCCCTACTCCTCCTGCTTGCCTGAGAGCCTAGACATTATCACAACTGATCTTAGCTGCAATATGATTGCATGACTGTCCCTCTTTCCTGCCCCCCCCCCCC